TTTTTTTTTTTTTTTTTTTTTTTTTGTATTTTTTATGCATTCTAAATGATATTTTTTTGTATAATGTGTATTAATAAATGTATTTTTTTTATTGATAACTTTGTGTAATGTATTTTTTATGCTAAATAATTTTGTGTTTTTTTATTATTGATGTATTAAAATTGTATTTTATAATTTTTTAATATTAAAATGATACCATATGAATAAAAATTTAACAAACTCAAACAAGTTTATTTCATTAGAGAAAAAAAGGGGCAAATTTAAGATTAAATATACATATATACCAATTTATTTGAAATAAAAAAATGAATAAAAAATAATATATTTAATGTAGAGTAAAACGTAGAGATAAGGGTTGGAGATGAATGTTCAACTCTACTCTAGAGTAGAGTAAAATCCGCACCAGAGTAGAGATAAGGGCTGAAGATGGCCTTAGACTATTAGTACTAGTTGTCTTTATTTCTAGCTATTTGGAAGTGCACAAGAACTTAAAACATGAAGTCTTTTTTAGGTAGAAAACTACTATCTTTAGAAGAGAAAAGAAAAGTTGGAGGAGGCTACAACTCCTTGCTGCAAACTTCGTTGCCGGAAAAATTTAGATGCTTCAACCCCGACGAGGAGACAGTCGACTCGGCCCACCGTGCTTTCATGACGGCTTTTCCGAGAGGGTTCGCGCTGGAGATTGTCGAGGTCTACACGGGCCCACCGGTGATCGTCTACAAGTTCAGGCATTGGGGCTTTATGGAAGGTCCTTTCAAGGGGCATTTACCAACCGGTGAAATGGTCGAGTTCTTCGGTATGGCCGTGTTTGAGGTAATTAACGAGTTAGTTTACATGTTTTTTTTTTTTTTTTTGCAAACCATATTTTGAGGTAATCTTGAAATGGTAAAATTGCATATAAAGGCACCACCACCATTTGCTATTTGCATTTAAATCATCACATGTCATATGTTTTGCAATTGAATCGTAAATTTAACTTCTCGTTAGGCTTTTCGTTTGCACCACGTCGGCCACGTAGAGGGTTCCGTCTATGCCAAGTCAACTCCAATCTAACGGAAGTTAAATTTATGTTTAGATCTGCAAAACATATGAAAGATGGTGATTTAAATGCAAATAACAAAAAGTATTGATTAAATTGCAAAAGTCATAAAGGTGGTGTTTTTTATGCAATTTCGCCTCTCGACACAGATGTCATTTGGTAATAAATGGTGTTTTTTGTACAATTGATGTGGTCGTATAGGTGGACGAGAATTCGAAGGTTGTGAAGGTCGAGTTCTTTTACGATCGTGGTGAACTTTTAGGAGCTCTCGTGAAGGGCCCGACTATCGATCGTGATGTTAAAACCACGAATGACGAGTTGTCTTCTTCAAGCTGCCCGTTCTTGAGGAGCACTGGATAATAAAAAATGTATATTTATCATCGAACTTTTTGCTCGGATGACCAGCAAATGATTCGAATCGTGAATGTGATAACGGTTTTATGTACTATGTAAGCTATTCAATAAATGTTACTCTCCGCGAATGCATAAACTTCGGGCATACGAGATAAAGAAAAAATGCATGTATGGTGTTTCTTGGTGTTAAAAAACTATTCCACTGTACGTCTGTACAAAACCGAAGCAAACGACACATTAAACAAGCAAAAGTGAATTCGTGAAGTCGCATTTTTCGTTATATCGAAGATTTTTTATATCCATCATCAAGTGCATTTCATCTTGTCCAGTCCATAAGCTCTCTGCAAATATTGGAGATTTAATGAACACAAAACAATTTTGATTACTACTCACCATAACCTCTCTGTTTTGCTCTGAAACGGGCGCAAGTAGAGAAACAAGTCTTCGCATTTCCTCCTTGAGCTTAGCATCATCTTCGTTTTCGGATTTGAGAATCTTAACGAAGTTGTTCTTATCAGGCAAGCTTGAGAGCCACCTGAAAGTTATAAACTAAAATCAGAATTCGAAATACGCAATCTTAAAAGAAGACTTTCGATAAAAATTTATTTCGGAACAAACTAGCGATCGAGCTGCAGCCATTACTTATATGCTGCTGAAGAAATCCAACCGTGCCAAGGTTTTAGAGCAACATTATAGGATTCTTCGACTGCTTGCTCCAAATTTCTCCCGAAATCCTTCACGAGCAATTGTAGCAAAATCAGAGTGAAATCCAGTGATCTGCATGAAGCCAAGATAGATTAGTGGTATATATGTATATATATGTATGAAGTATGATATTTTAGGCAATGATGTAAGAAATTATGTACCTAGTGAGCCAAACAAAGGCTTTGCTGCAAGAAGCACCCTTTTTGGCCTTGCCTTCATTGGCCTCTTTCTTCAAAATCTCAACCACATCACTATAGATTGAAGGATCACAATCATGGAACTTCTCCAATCTCTAGACACGAAAATAATACTCGGGAAAGTTACGGTCTTTTAGTTATTAGTCCACGTTTATTATATATATATATATATATATAGAACCGGTCGACTAATATCAGTAAAAGTTATAAAACACAAATGCTGGTGTTGGGCAGACAAACTTTTGTTCGAGCGAAATCTTGGTGAGTACATAAATGATAATCTCATATCGCGAATGAATGATCGGATATGAAATGATTGTCATAAATACCCTTGTTGATATAAATTTATAGTACTCTACTAAAATATAGAATAATTAAGCTGCAAAAGAGAAAACAAGTGGTGATTAGAAGCTTAGATCAACAAGAAAAGGACATATTAATCAACTAAATTAAAGCATTAATTAACCACTTCTCTCGAAGTCGTGATCGCCATAGCTTAAGTCTAGTTTCCGAAGAAGGGCATAAACGTCAATAAACATTTTGGCCGACTAATGATTTTTATATACGATCATACATATTCATCGACCGTGCACAAAAAACACAAATGTTGTTGTGAAGATGGCTAATCATTATACAATCGTACTTTTTTTTTATGAAAGTTGCAATACTTATGCTATGAAATTGAATATTTTTATTTATACATGATATTTGAGTATGAAAGTATGTATATTTGTTCGCAGAGTACGTTTGTCTAACCGTAAGACGGTCTAACATAAAACCCGTCTAACACACACACACCAAATAAAAAAAGTCAGAGATTTCTTGGCCATGGAGGTGACTCTTACAATGCATGAGTTTATGGTGGCCATGAAATGAAGGCGCGTGGTTTGCACACGCCGATAAAAATGACAAAACAATTGCAATTATTTAAACCTCAATGTTGCTATGAATGTCTTGTCTCAGCACAACCATCGTTGGCCCAATCTTATCTGCAAAGGCAAGTCAAAATTAAATAAATGCCACGACAGTTACAAATAATTACAAAAGGCTGCCTTTTGGTTTGGCATATTTACACGAAAGGCTCTCCTTTCTTTGTAAACTACAAATATTCCCCTAAATTACCAAAATGGTCCACAGTGAGTGGCGGGTTAACTTCTGTTTTGGCATATTTACACAAAAGGCTCTGCTTTCTTCCTAAACAACAAATATTCCCCTAAATGACCAAAATGGTAATGGTCTACCGATTGAGTTAAAAATATTGCAAGCATCCATTAACCTTCTTATTATAATATTACGTAATTCCGTAAGTCAATTGATAAGCCATTCTAACAAATTATACTATTTGTTGGTGGTTTTTGTAATTGGATGAAATTTCATGGGTATGTTTTGAAAATATGAATTCTTAAAAATAGGGAAGAGATCGTAATTACCAAGAACTTGAACGAGCAAATTGCAAAGAGCAAGGAAAGGCTTGAGAGGAAGATAATGACGAACAGTAGTTTTCTGGTCACAACCACCATCACCACCGTCAGCCACGGCGGCGCCACCACTACTCTTGCCGTCGGCCGCCAAAAGCAACAGCTCGTCGATGGCGGCCCTTATCTCCGACGGCACCATCTCCGCCTGATCTCTCTTTCTCTTCATTAATTTCTTAACACTTAATTAAAGTCACACACACATACACAGTGTTGATTGCTTATTGTAGACATGTACAAGTCATTAGAGAGCTTGATTGAGATCTTTTAAATTTGACTCCTGCAATTATCTCTTATCTTCTAAAAATTTTATATATTTTTTAAACTGATTCAGATTAATTCATAACAGGGCAACTACATTACACAAAATATACACTAAATAAGCGAAAATATGGAACAGTACACGAAACTCATGGATGTAGTATATATCATCAAACTTGTTGTATTAATAGGTTAGAAAATTCATAAAAAAAAAGAAATTAAATTTAATTTCATGCAAGAAATTAATGACATTGAGAAATGTCATTAACGATGGTAACACAAAAATTAAATGTGACAACAATATAATTCAATGGATATATATATATATATATATATATATATATATGTATATTCTTAAGTTAAAATGTTATATCATAATAGACGGTACAAACAAAAATACGACATTTCTTAGTATAAACATGTAATTTTCTTTAAAAGTATAACAGGTCGATTCGTCTAACGGTTAAACGAGACACTCAAGAATTTTTGTGTTTCTTTTTACTATCCTTGTGTTGCATGGTTAATGCTGCACTAATTTGCTGCTTACCAAAACATATAACATCCTCTAATATTTATGCTTTCTTTTGGGACCCATCTTGACATAAGGCCAGTAATGATCTATTTTTGCCAGTATGAAGATGTTACGGTCCCGTTACGGAATCGTCGGGATTTGTAACTGTTTGATCAATTATCTCTGACGGTTACATGATGATCTAACAGTTACAAACTCCAACGGAATAATTATGTAACGGGACCTTAGCATTTTCCACAATTTTAATAATCGTCCCTTTTAATGCAAGGGATTTCAACTTTGTATTATTCTTTTTCCCCACCAATCATTAATGTTGTTAGTTGATATATAAGTAAAAGAAAGTAGTAAATTATTATTTGTGTTGTTACTATTTCATCATATTTTTATTTGTTTTTAATGTTATCATCATTATTAATTTATTGTTACTCCCTCTTAGTTTTAGGATTTTGGAACATCAGTTATGGTGACTGGGCTAGGACTCGAACTCTTCCTGGTGGAGCCGGACCAAGTAATCATTATATTGGGCTTTTCTTTATAGCCCAAACTTCTAGCACAATCTTGGGCATCATTACGCACTAGGCCCACCCTCATTCCAAAATATTAAAATGACAAGTATCCCTTGCATTCACATAATGCAAACAAAAGCAACAAACTAGTCGAGCTGAGCTGAGCTCAGTATTGGTCTTATCAAGTGATCGGGCTAGATTTTCTTATCAAGCAAAAAACACAAGTTTGAGATCGGCTCAAATCTAATTATCTTAAATTTTGTTCGATTTCAGTTTGAAATTTCAATAAAAAAAAATATGGCTATGATCATTTAGATAATTCTAAATATATTCAAGAGGTTAGTTGAGCAGTCAAACATACAAGCTACATGCTCGAGCTCGAGTTCGAATTCGATGCACTTGAGTTTGACTCATGTTTCGTCAGACTCTCACTCGAGTGATCATGAGTTGCTCAATTTATTTGCAGCCCTAATGAAACTAAAAAAAAGTACCATAAATTCTCAGGCAAATGACGTGTGTTCGAAAGATTACTCCATCACCAATCGGGGTCTACGAGTGATTCCTTGTCCAGCCAACCTCGGAAATGTTTATTTCAAGGGTTCATCAATATTGTGAAATTGTGTCCTATTAATTTACATGACTCCTAACTAGCATGTCACAACTTGCAAGCAATCAATTAATTAACCTACTCTAAAATAGTACCAATGTGATATACTACATGGGAATATTGGTCCTTTGATTCGTGCCAGGCCACAATAACATTACAGTTACCAAACATGCCATTTTGTCCTGGCATCCACACAATCAATGTGCACACTACACAGTACATCCCTCCCTATATAATAATGCAAAACGTGTTGAGTCCAAGTGGTAAATTCTCATACTTCGGATACTGACATAGCGAGAATCTATGCTTCGTGATGTTGTTTTTATATTATTTTTGCTATGGTATTTGACATAAATAATTTTTATCATATATTTTTTAACTCAATACACATGTTGTACACTGGTATTATACTAATTCATATAATAAATTACAATCTCTTGATATTCAAAAAAATAAATAAAATAAAATAAAAGACACTTCCTGCATTTTTTGCACAAATTCTACTCTATATGATAGTTATCCTCAACAATACTTTACTAATATAAATTGTAAATATATAGAATTAATTGTTATACTTATTTTAACAATTAAGTATGAAAGTATATAAATTATAAAGAAAATGTGGTTATTTTTAACTGTTAGGCTGAGTAAGAGCAATGTTAGTGTATTCTTTTATTAGTTTAGTCCAAATATTCCTATAAATTTTTTTTTTTTTTTTACCTCTTTTTTCTTTTCTTCAAGATTTTACATAATAAGTGTGAAAATATTTATTTAATGAAAATTTTTCTACTAAATTTTAAATTATGTATAAGGTTTATGTGATGTGGTCTAATCCGTGCACATATAAATTGAATAGGATGTATAGGTGGGGTCCTAAATCTTACCCTTTCATAATTTCTCTAATTCATTAATACACAATCTGCCCTACATAACAAATAAACAAGTAAAATTTAATTTGAAGTCAAATTATATTTAATTCCTCTAATTGCATTGGGACCCTTTGTGACAAATATGCAAATAAGTCTACTTGAATTGACCTGAAAATTTCTATTTGTGATTAATAAAGTTCAATCTCAAAGTAAATAACTTTCCAATCTTAATTATTAAAATTCAACTCAGCGTTCTTTCAACTCAGACGACTCATAAACAGTTTGATCCAATTAATATCTTTTTTTTTTTATTTTTTTTTTTTAGTTTTTACATCTTCCATACATTCAATTTAATTAAATTAAATTAAAATAAATAAATATGGTTATAAGTATGTAAAAAACGCAATAAAATGTTATAAAATAATTAATAGATTGTTAATAATAATTATGGAATTAATAAATATGCAATTTGTACAATAATAGAAAAATATTATATTTTTGAGAGTGGATGGTGTGACGGTTTAGATCCTTACGTGGGTAGTAAGGTCAAATTTTTCATAATTTACCGTTCGATCCACGAATATTTATATGACTTCGTTTATGTGATTCAGTTTTTAATAAATTTGTGATGGCATATCACTACCAAAAAAAAGAAGTCATATTCCAACAGAAAATCCTACGTTAATTTATTTTAATAGAAATTTCAACGAAATTTCCAATGGTGGAAACGGAAGCCATATCATTGAATTTTAGATAAAATTTGATCATTCCAACGATTATTATTCCAACGGTTCTTTACCGTAGAAACTCGTTCCAACAAAAAAGAAATTGTTGGAATTTTCGTTAGATCCAGAAAAATTCTAATGGAAATAATATCATTGAAATTGCCGTTGAAATTTCATTTGAACAAATTTCCGTTGAAATTTTCTACTAGAATTTTATTCTTGTAGTGTATAGGATTGAATCTACCCTAATGTACCTGTAAATCCAGGATGTTAAAAAAAAAATAATAATAATAATAATAATAGTGAACTCCGTCTATTTACGTGTTGATCAACAAGTGAAACACATGTTGAGGAGCTCACATCAACCCATCAAATCCAGTTTTGTATACCTAACGGTAGTGAACTATTAAATGCTAACAACATTTCAATTTTATAGTACATATCAAATTAAAGAGAAATACTATATTTCCGTGACGTAACTATTCCGTCGGGATTTGTAATCGTTAGATCATTATGTAACCGTCGTGGATAGTTGATTTAAAGGTTATAACCCAACAGAATGGTTCCGTAACGTGATAGTAGAATCTCCCCAAATTAAATGAATAAAATTATCTATCAATAAATAATCCCACTATGGAGTTATTCACTCTTTATTTTCTTTACATTTTGGTGTTCTCCTCGTCTCAAACTCTATAGAAGTAAAGCATTTGCATCTAATCCCATACCTTACTAATAAACATTATGAGTTTATCCTACTAAACTCAAACAAATTCGATTTTCGGTTTTGCTATGAAGCTAACAGTTGGCTCCATAGTGGAGCCAACTTTTTATATACAACAAATAAACCTATTGTAATCAAATAATATGGTAAATTTATTTATTGTATATAGAAAGTTGGCTCCACTATGGAGCCAACCGTTGACTTCACAGCAATACCAATTCAATAATTATGAGTTTAATCCTCACCATAAATAAGAAACACAAAATTAAAGACCAACAACAAACTTGAATTAAATTGAATTTAAGTAGCACCATGTGCCATAATTATTTGACATGGACAAAAGGGCGGCACCAAGTTACCCCACATATTCACTTAATGCCGACAAAAAAAAAAAAAAAAAAAATGATTCAAAATATACTAATTTACACAAAATTTTTCTTTATTTTTTCTATTATATAAGTATATAATATAAACAAAAATTATATAACTAACTAATTAATTATATATATATATATTTCGGCACAAGTCCCTTTTAGTGAATTGTGACAGTTAACTCCCAAATCCCAATAATTACCCAAAAAATAGAAAATAAATATAAAAATAAAAATAAAAATAAAAATCCAGCTATATTGAAAAATATCAAGGATTGGAGAAAAGCTCATAGGCAGGCAGATCAAACGGGGCCCAGTTATCACCCAACAAATTCGCGGGTACCCGAAACGGGTCATCATTCGAGAACAACCCGAAATCCGGCACCTGCATACCCGGTTGTACCTCGCCCCCAAAATCCGGCAGATTTGTTGTATCCTCCGCCGTCCACAGCAAGTCCGCCGCGTCGCACCCGATCGCGCCCTGCCCCATCCCGATCGGGTCGAAATCCTGCAACCCGAAATCCCCACCGTCCATTTCCCGACCGCCGAATCCCCCCAAATCGATCAATCCGTCCGCGGGCGCCGCTTCAAAGACCGGGCCGTCCGACGACCCGCTGCTCGGGCCGGGGCTGAACGACGGCTCGTCGCCGTCTGGGCCCGGGCCGACGTACCGGGCGAAGACGGCGGCGAGGTCGATGCACGGGCCGGGTTCGGGTCTCGCGTCTGGATTGGGGGCGGGGGACGGAGTAGGTCCGGGCCGGGAGGATCGGGCCCGGCGGCTCTTGCGGCAGCCGCCTCCGACGGGGACGTTTCGGAGGGAGCCGCCCTTGGTCCAGTAGCGGCGGCACGCCTTGCAGAAGTACCGGGGCTGGGAGAGGCTGTAGTTGTTGTAGTAGCAGAACTTGGTGTTGGCCGAGGCGCACCGGGGGCAGCTGGGGGCCACCTCGGCGGCTCCGCCGCCGCACCGCCACTTGACGGGGTCGGACGAGGTGGGGCGGCGGACGAGCGGCGGGCGGTCGAATATCGGGTAGGAATCGCTGCCGGCGGCGGTGTTGGTGAACATTTTTTAGGAAACAAAATTGAGAGTAAGAGAATATTTTTGTTTATTTATCTAATATTTTTACTTGGAAGGAATTTGAGAAAGTATGGGGGTGACAGTGTGAAGTGTGGAGAAGAGATCAAGGAAAGGGGAATATATAGATATAGATACAGTATGTATATGTATGTAGAAGTGGAGTTATATATATATAGAGAGAGAGATAGATGGGTTGG